TGCTTCTGTTTTTGTGGTAACCCTTAGTTTGGAATTATCTAAAATATTCAGTGGTGTGCAAGTTTTGGCTGTTCTCCTTAATATATGTAAATTATACTGTGTTTTTTTTCCATATTTAAGACAAAAAAAGTCACATCTCAGGAAGGAAACTATTGAGTTCTAAATGAAATTAAAATGGGAGAGTTCCTTGATTCCCCTCTAAGGACATGCAACGGGGGTGTGGCTTGTCTGTTTGGCTGCTGCCACTGCTCAAACCCCATACAGGAGGAGGAACATGCAGACAGGCAGGTGCAAGAGCCTGGGCAAGAACTTTTGGGCTCTGGACCCATAGTGGTATTAGGGGTGTGTGCCTGTGACTCTCAAAGCCCAGTGGATGTGCTGCAGTGCTCTTTTAGCTCTGTCGTTTGCAGACAGCTTAAGTGTTAACCAACTCAGTGCTTTCTTGGTACCAGAGCTCTTGTCTGGCATCCAGGAAAAACAGATCACGCACAGATTGAAGGATGGTGAATACGGGGATCTTATTGAGTGATGGAGGTGGCTATCAGCAGGATGGATGGGAAGCTGTGAAGAGGATGGAATGGAAAGATGATCTTCTCCTGGTGTTTGGCCATCCAATGGCTGATCTCCTCTCTGACCATCCCTAGCCAAACTCCTCTTGATGTTCAAATACTCGTTCTCTTCTCTCCTTGTCTGCCACGTTATTATGCCACTCTTCTACTCTTCTGTTTGTCTGCTCTTGGAGCCTGGGGTTTGGGATTCGTACGGATACAGGATGGGGGATGTGGTGGGCCAAAAGGTAATGTTTGGGTATGAAAACAGTGATTCCTGTTCCCATTTAGGTACACGGGTTTCCAGGCTTGAGGGCAGGGCTTTTGCCAGGGAACCACCTTCTTCTATCCAGTATTTCCACCTCCTGTTTGTATCAATATCTTACACTCTTTTCTGGTTTTTGTACCCCGAGCCCAAAGCAAGGATGTTTTTAGAGGACACATGTTTTTTTCTTATGCAACACCTATCCAAACACACTATCACTTTTCAGCCATGACATAAACCCTACAAACACACAAACAACATGACACTCAAGGATCTGACAAATTGTATCAAAAGAAGATCCTAAGGAGGTTTTCAGGGAGGAAAGGGCTTTAAGGTTCTTCTTCTCTTCTGTATCCCTATGCTTAATACCTGGAGCATAGTAGGTACTCAATACATATTTATGGAATGAGCAAATATGCAGATGAACATGTACACACATACATGTAAGCACACACCTATTTGTGTTGGGTCTGCACTCCATTGTCAGAATTCACTTTTTCTTTTGTTTCTCCCTTTTAAGAATTAGCCAGTCAAAATACTCTTCACTAATATCTCATGATGTACAGACATCAATACATGATCTATGCGAGTTGATGGAGAGAATAACATAGCATTATAAAACAGTTCCACGGCTGAGAAGCTCGTGATCTAATAGGGCAAACACATATGAGAATAAAAACCAAGAAACATTTTAGCAATAATAATACTGTTTGGAAACTTATGAGAAAAAAGGAGTGAGTATGTTGGCAGGAGATAGGGGAGCTACCACCCAGCTAGCCCACACAAAGCCATGGGCAAGTCACTGGTGGAGGCTTCACTGTTTGACCAGCTGCTACTGAGAAATGCTTGGGGTTTTCATGGGTACAAGATAGGGTGTGTGGCAGTTCAGGGTGATTTTGGAAAAAGCAACATTTGGGAGGGAAAATAGGAATGCATGTTCTCATTTAGGGTTGTAGGTCCAGGCTTGAGTGTGGAGCCCTTGCCAGGGACCCCACCCCTTTCTACCCAGTATTTCCCTGCCTCCTGTCCATATTGGCCAATGACTTGGTGCCTCCCCAGTGCTCTTTATGTCTCCCATGTTCCCCTACTTTTTTTTTTTTTTTTTACCCTTCTAGCCTATCATTTCTGACATTCCCTACTTCCTCTGTTAATACCTGTGTTGAGTTCCATTGCCCAGGACTCTGCCAGGTGATTGACTGTATTAAACAAATTATTTGTAGAAAGCTGTTAATAGCCTACAAATGGCTCAGGGGCTTCCCCCATCTAATAATATTTGCATTTTCATTGGGGGATTTCAGTGTCAAAGAGGTCAGTTTGGGATTCCTGCACCTGAGCAGGCTTTACTCTGGTTTTCTCCCCATCTGGCTGCCCATTGAGCCACCTTTAGAGCAGGCACCTGCTCTCAGGTCATGGCTCCTGCGAGCTGGTTAGATTTATTGCTGTCTTATTCCAGTGCTTTTTCAGTTATGGTGTGTTTCAATCTATATTAGAAGCAAAGGGCACAGGAAGAGACAGTAGGCAGAGGGAAAGAAACATTGCAAATTGGATAAAGAGCCAGGCCACTGGGCTGAGGTATTCTGTCTGTGGAAAGGCCCATTGGGTACCAATGGTATTGCTGTCCATTAAAGAAAATCCATAGGCTTTTTAAAAATTCATTTTCACCTTAATATAGCAGGAACAGCCACTCTGCCATGCAATTCCTGAGGATTTATGGCTGGCTGGGGTTAATGATTTGAGGTGTTGTTCTTTCCTGTGCCTCATTAATCCCCAGGAAGTGCCTGTGCTGAGATGGTTATTCAGCTCAGGTGGGCTCCAGAGGCACCAGTGTTCTCCACTCCAGCTCCAAGATGGCTGCAGGGGCAGGCAGGAGCTCTCAGCTCCCATGAAGGCCTTGTCTGCACCACCATGTCCCTCAGAGCCTGGGTTAGTGACCCCACAAACGGCATTATGAATCCTAGGTAAGTTTTGGCAGCCATTTTTCTTAGTTACTGGTGTTGTTGATGTGACTCTATGGCTTCCACCTTTACCCTTTACCACAGAAAGGTTGAAAAAGACAGAGTAGGCCTCAACTGGGGAGAAGTGTGAGTGCAATGCTCCTTATCCACAGACGACAGAAGGGACTGATCCACTGATGGGGCAGAACTGATGTCAGGAACAGAGTCTCTCAGTAGCCCAAGGTGCTTTCTGATGATTAGAATGTATCGCATTTTCGTTGGGGGAATTCTAACTTTTTGGAGGCAATAGTGTTTATGGAATATTTTCCTATACCTTTCTGTCCCACCTTCCTCCCTTCTACAAATATTAATTGAGCACTTACTAAGGTACCGGTGTAGATATTGAGGACACAGCCATGAACAAGAGGAACAGGGTCCTGTCTTTAGGTTTTTGACATTTTAGTGTGCTTGGGGTGTGTGGCCAGACAACAAACATATAAACCTTTCATCTTTTTACAAACCCATGGCTCAGGCAGAATAGGTGTACCCATATCTATTTCATAAATAAGAGACCTGAAACTTTGGAGCAGTCAGGTGATCTTTTCGGGTAAGCCAGTTTGCGCATTCATTAGCTTATCTATCAGACAGATTTATCAACAGCAGCCATCGCTCAGCTCATCTCCTAGACTTTTGAGTTATAAAGATGACTAGGGTATGAGTCTTGCCTTCCAGAACTCACAGTACAGTGGTAGAGAAGCCACACAAATATGCCAAAATATTCTAATCAGAAAACTGCTATAATGGGATCTTTGCTTGCAAAACGGGGGCTTGAAAGAACCATTTGCCTGAGAGAGGGAACCAAAGTCAGCCACAAGTTTAAGGCTCTCCTGGTAGTAGGGCTGGGAGAATCTGCTCGATAACACTTGTTGGATTGAATTAAGCCAGCTATTCAAGGGCTGGCTTCATTATCTGGTTTAAAAAGTGTCCCCAGGACATCAGAAATCATATATTCAAATTAAGCAAAAATAACCTTCTCATTCCAAACAAAAATAGAAATTGTTCCACTTTTGGTCAGGCCTCCCTCTTTTTACGTGATTAATTAAAAACAGGGTAGCCACTAAGCTGCAATAGAAATGACAAATTATCTATATCTTATTTATTAACGTAAAAATGCCCAGAAATTCCTCCTAGAGTGCGTTTCATCCACCCTCATCCTTCCTGTATACCTCCCTACCTCCATTAGGCGGGCTATAATTGAGAAATACTTACACCTAGCCTCAACCATAGCAATGTAGAAAGAGCCACTAAACTCGGGAAATCTGAGTTTTTGTTCTGAGCCTGTCATTAGGTAAAATTCTGACCGTGGGTAAGTAACTTAAGCTTTATTTTCCTTTATTTTTCTTTCCTTTTGTTCCTTCCTCCCTTCCTTCCCTCCCTCCCTTTCTTTCTCTTCCTCCCTCCCTCTTTTCTTTTCTTTCTTTCTCTTTCTTTCTTTCTTTTCTTTCTTGCCAGGGTCTTGCTCTGTCTTCCAGGCTGGAGTTAGTGGTGTGATTGTAGGCTTGATCTCCCAAGCTCAAGCAATCTTCCCACTTCAGCCTACTTAGTAGTTGGAACCATAGGCATACACCACCACACCTGGTTAATTTTTAAATTTTTTGTAGAGATGGGCCCTCCTTATGTTGCCTAGGCTAATCTTGAACTCCTGAGCTCAAGTGATTCTCCTGCCTCAGCCTTCTGAAGTTCTAGGATTATAGGCATGAGCCACGTTGCCAGACCTCACTTAACCTCTTGATGTTTCAGTTTCCTAAAATATAAACTGGTATTGTAATCCTTGTCCTATCTTACATCACAGGTCCTTGTAAGGACCAAGTGATAATACCGGGTGGTAGCAAGAGAATGGAAAATTCCAGGCAGCAGTTTCACTTGACTAGCAAAAGGAAACTGTTGAAATAGCTCCATAAACTAGGGGCTGATAAGACCCTGAAAACCAGATGAAGGCCAAGCTGACTAAGATCAGCTGGACCCAGTATGGTGCTAGATTTGATGCGGGTTTCACCTATAACCTCATTACATGTTCATTAACGTAATAAATCACACATTGACCAGTGCCATGACAGTCTGGGAACACCCAAATTGGTGTAAAAATGGGTGTTACCACAGTTACAGGAAATGCTCACTTTTCCCAGGCATCTTCATGAATATTCCACCCCTTGGTTAAAGAAACTCATATAGATGGAAGTCCTGAACCCCACTGGGCATGACTGTCTCTTTTGAGCAGACACACACTCCCTTTTCTTGAGTGTGTATTTTTTGCTTTGTGATACATCTCTGCACTTTGACTCTTCTTCAACTCATCCTTGAATTCCTTCTCACAAAAGTATCAAGAGCCTGGACGCCGGCCAGGGTTGAGGTCCTGCTGGTGTTGGGGGACCTCCCCAAGCCCACCGGTATCAATAGCATATGGTCTGTGGCAGTGATTAAGGAGCAAAACACTTGGTATGTATTGGGGGTGTCATTACTATTACCATAGCATGTCCGCTGACTGAACAAGATGCTAGACGTTTGCTAATTTGGCGTGCGTAGGGGAGTGTTAGACTTCTTATATTCTTTTGGCATCAGAGGACTGGGACGCAGCCCTGTAAGTGGGGATAAGCATCCCTTTAGCATCATTGTTCCCATCCAAGGGTCAGGATCCCACTTAATGGCTCAGTTTCCCCAGCCTAATAAATGGTAACAGATTGTCTCATTTTCCCTTGATAAGTGACAACCTTTGGCTGCCTGGTCTTCTTTCAGGCTGCAACTGCTTCTATGAGCTGGCAACTCCAGTTCTCCTGGGCCTCATCCAGGCCTGTGCAGGAAGACCATGGAGTGGATTAGGATGAGGGTTATTCACATCCTCTGCAGACACCTTCTCATGTTCAGTGTCTGCTTGGCTGGCATTAAAGGCAGAGGGAGTGCTGAGGATGGGTGTGTGTGGGGTGCAGGAAGGAAAGGATGGGTAGGGAGAGTTCTATTGCTAAGCTCAGAGAGGGTTATGAGAGGAAAAGCAGGTTGAGGGGAAAGCAGTGAGGGAGGATATAATTGAGCCAAATATCTTATTGGAACAGACAGAAGTGATAATATTTATTTCTTCTGTAGATGCACTGATTATGTTGTCCAGATCAAAAATAGAAACTGTGGACTATGAGCTAACAGATACATTTTTGAGGACAACAGGACAGTGTAGTTTGAATATAGACTGAGAAAATTCTGGAAGTGTGATTTCTTATGTATATGACCTCATGCTCTCCCATAATTTCTTCTTTTTAGAAATTTAACCTCTAGAGTATAGGACACTCCCAAAATTTCAAATCTTGTTGAGTCTAGTTTTGCCATGGGGCACATTTGAGAAGTTCGTGTTTGTGTTTCTTCTATCTACTCATTCTTTCTTTCTTTTCAACAAATATTTATTGAGCACCTACACAATGTGTGGCCCACTTCATGGGTGTGGGATCCATGTAATCACAAAGGGCCTTACACTTAAGGAGGGCCCTGTGTTTGGTACAATGCACTATTACCATCCTGAAATGTGTAATATTTTTCAAACAAATTCTGAATTTTTATTTTCACCAGGCCCTGTAAGTTATGTATTTGGGCTGGGCACAGTGGTTCATGCCTGTAATCCCAGTACTTTGGGAGGCTGAGGCAGGTGGATCACCTGAGGTTGGGAGTTTGAGACCAGCCTGACCAACATGAGGAAACCCCATCTCCACTAAAAACACAAAATTAGCTGGGCATGGTGGTGCATGCCTGTAATCCCAGCTACTTGGGAGGCTGAGGCAGGAGAATTGCTTGAACCCGGGAGGCAGAGGTTATGGTGATCTGAGATCACACCATTGCACTCCCGTCTAGGCAACAAGAGCAAAACTCTGTCTCAAAATAAAAATGTATCTTATCCTGATGGGATACCATATTGGGTGTTGGGGATACAAAGATGAAAAGATACTTTTTCCCAAATTCTTTGTAATTGTCACCAGCTCTTTGCCTCGGCAGTACCCCGGTGCTGGTCATGACTCTCTGCATAGTTATCTGCTAAACACTGCCTTAGCTAACTGGGAGTTTGAAGAGTTTCTTCTTAACTAATTCACTATAAAGCACTCCAAATTACACAAATAATTTTTTAATTATAAAAATTATAATTTTTAGTTACTGAGAAGTTACTGTAGAAAATTAGAACTATGCAAAAAAATACGAAGAAGAAAATATTAAACAATCCATGATCCCAACATTCGTATGCAATGGGTATCACTGGATAGCTGAGATTAGGTATTTTCACTTTGAATTATTCATATTTTTAAATAAAAGTAGGATTCTAATGTTACATATAATTTTATAGTCTTGCATTTTCACTTAAAATTGAATATTTGCTATTTCCCAAGACATAAAATAATTTCCAAAACATGGTGTTCTCTGTTTGTAGCATTCTATTACTTGGATGTGCCATGATATATTTTCTTCCTTCCCATTTTTTGGGGTACATATAGGTTGTTTTCAGATTTTTGCTGTGGCAAATGTCACTTGAATGAACATCCTTATATATACATCTTTGATTCTTTGGTTATTTTCTTAGGATAAACTTCAAAAAGCAAAATGAGTGGTTAAAAGGGTATGGAGAGTCATGACACACATGCAAATCAGTTCCAGAAGACTGAAACAACTTTTGCTCTCACCAGTATTGAATGGGAGACCCTATTTCACAAGTCTGCCTAAACTGGCTATTTTTATTTTTCACAGTGGTTGTTCAAGTTAACAGGTGATAATGTTTATTTGATTACTTGTTTTCCTGTATTTATTGGGCACATATATCACCTGTTTGTTTTCAGAAGCTATAAAAACTCTGAAATATAACTCATATTTTAATATTTAATACAAAATTACCTTTTTCATTGTTTTCTTTGTAATCTCACGCCTATCCTGACCCATGCCATTCTTTTTTATTGTTAACTTTTAGGCTCAGGCGTACATGTGTGGGCTTGTTATATAGGTAAACTTGTTTCATGGGGTTTGTTGCACAGATTATTTCTTCACACAGGTATTAAGCCTAGTACCCATTAGTTATTTTTCCCAGTCCTCTCCCTCCTGCCACTCTCCACCCTCCAATAGGCCCCAGTGTGTGTTCTCCTCTGTGTGTCCATGTGTTCTCATCATTTAGCTTCCTCTTGTGAGAACAAGTGGTGTCTGGTTTTCTGTTTCTGTATATCACAAATCTTACGAGCTGTCTTATCAGACCTTTTATTCATTCTCCTATGAGAACGCTCCACTTTTTCTTAGTTATCTATTAATTAGTTATCTATTAAATGCCTTAGGTTTTAAAAAATAGACAACATGCAGAATTAGGTCTAAGTGACAGATCATGCATGCATGTTTAACATGTTATCACTGCTGAAGTGTATTACCTTTAGTAATTTTTTAAACTTGAATTATTTTCTATATAGAAACTTCATATAGAAGCTTAATGAGGTCCTATATGGGAATGGATTATTGTAAAGAAAATAAAAATTTTCTAATTGGAAAAATTGCTGCAAAGGCCAGATGAACATTGGCCAGGCTGCTGTAGATGGATTCTTGCCCTAAGCAAGAGGTTGGACTGAATGAGTAACGTCAGTCATTTCTGATTCTTTCTATAATTCTAATGATAAAATTTCAAGCAACATTGTCTGATTGGCTAGGGCCCTTCCAGTTCTAATTCATGAATAGTTACCTTCAGGTACATTCAGGTCTTCCTGGATCAAGCAAGTTATCATATTAAATATTAATAATAGTATATTATGTGAGATGAAAAGATACCAAGTTCCAAATGATATGATAACGAGGTCCATGCTTATGTATTACAGGGAGTTAAAAAAGAAGGAATTTTATGAGTGCTTTAGAAATCAGGGAAGGTCTCAGGGAGAGATTTAGCCTTGAATGAATCAGTCTTTGCAGCAGAGAGAGGTATGAAGGCTTTCTAGGTGCAGAGAACAACAGTGTAGTTTGCCATGCTAGGAACCCCACTGAGGGGTGGCCCTGTGTGTCTGTCACAGCACAGAATGAAGGTCAAATTAGGGAAAACGGGGTTTGTCATCTTGGAAAGCCAAAAAATTCCCTGCAACGTGAGTAAGAAAAAGCTTCCAGAGTTAAAGGCAACTTCCCTCAAGGACTCCACAGTGAAATTCTGGTTAGGCTCACCTGTTTTGTGTAGAAATCCTAAGTCGTATTTTGTAGCTCTGAGACCTTATTGGAGGTCCAACCATTCTTCAATACAGTCATGTATCGCTTAATGATGGAAAAGTGTTCTGAGAAATGCATTGTTAGATGGTTTCATCATCATGTGAACATCATGGGTGCAGTTACACAAACCTACTCTGTATAGCCTACTATTCACCTAGGCTTTATGGCATAGCCTGTTGCTCCTACAGACCTGTACAGCATGGTGCTGTACTGAATACTGTAGGCAACTGCAACACAATGGTATTTGTGTATTTAAAGATCTCCAGACATAGAAAAGGCATAGTAACAATACAGTTTTGTACACTTATGGGACCACTGTCGTTTACGCAGTCCATTGTTGACGGAAACGTTATGTGGCACACGACTGTAAGTTCAAGCAATCTGAGGAGTTTTACTTCTCCTTTTCAGACGTTTCTCCATGAGTTTTTATTCTCATTGTTAGAAGTGCTGGCACGTCACATTAGTTGGAAATAGAGAACAGCACTTGCCTTGTGGGAGGTCAGCTTCAGCTTCCCTATGTGAACTTTGAAAAGCTGCTTTCGCATTTGGAAGACTCTCTTTGTAATGAAGATGGGTTCTGGGCAAGGAAGAGAGTCCTATCACCTCAGCTGTTTTTTGAACCAGGGGCAGTGGAGTCCTCATTTAGTCAGTTGATAGGGCCACGTGCTAGTGAGGATAAAGTGATGGGTTCAATTCTCAGTGGAGCCAGCGAACTTCACTTTGTTTCACAAATGGTCCCAAGTTATACTTCCTATTCTCACCTGCCAGTTTACAAAGTCACTAATTTGGGGAGCTAGGCGCTGGCACTTCAGTACAAACCACTTTCTCAATTATGCCTCACAGCTGAGACACTAGACACATAATTGGAGCTTCATGAATCCACTTGATGAGTATTTGTGGAACCACTGCAATGTACCAGGAACTGTATTAGGTGCTGAAAATGCAGATTAAATCAAGACACTCTCTGTACACTGGATTTGATGAATATATGAAGAATAGCATTTGCATGCAGAGACCTAAGAGGGGCTGGCTAGGGAGGGTGAGAGGCAGCACAAGGGGTGTTAGTTCAAGGGTGACCATTATAAAGTGGACAAAATGCAGCAGATGGGGACAATCCAAAAAGGAGCACTATTTCAGACCTCCATTTATCTCAAGGTTTGTGGATTCAAGTAGCTTAGTTTTGCCAAATTCACATTTGGACTATGTGAATAAGCACCGGAGAGGAAGGTGATATTTAACACAGGCCT